TATTATTATTATTACTATTATTATTATTATTTATTTATTTATTTATTATTTTTTTATATTATTTTTTTATTTTTTATTTATTTATTTACAATAATTACAAACTTTTCAAAAAGAAAATCAAATTCAAGATACGAGATATGATCAAGAGTTTATGCTTCTCCTAAATTCTAATTAATTCAGAAGTTTGTTTAGATTTCGTTATCTTGTAGAAAAAAGTCAATGAAGAAATTATATTGCAAGAAATTTATACTACAAAAATGTTCCAAATTTTCAATCCTAAAGATTATGTGTCACGTATATAGGCAACAAATTAGTAAAAGTTTCCTAGTAAAAAGTATATATGTTGTTTATATGAAATCAAATCATTATTATTTTCCAAATCCAATGAATGGAAAATTTAAGAAGCGACAAATTGATGATTATCTTCACTGAATAATTATTGTTTCATATGGATTTTTTGATTAGTGGGAAACATGAAAGTAATAATCTCATGATAAAGATTCCTCGTTTGTGTGACAACACACGAGAGATGCACTAATCACAACAAAAAAAAAACATCAGACTCAAACTACAAAGTAAATATTATAATATTCTTGATGAAAGATTATGGTGATTAGAATTATGACCCTCTCTCTAATCAAGAAAATATGATGATTAGCAATATGACCCTCTTATCAAGAATTGGTTAGATAGGCATGTAACCTTAATTTTTTTTTCATTCGGTATCTGATATCCGTGTTAAAGTTCAATTAATTCGGATTCGTGTCGCATAAGACCCCATTCAAGGGTAAGAACTCCCTATCAAGATTTTTTCATACTCAGTGACTTGAATGTGAGACCAGAAAGAACAACATCATGCACTGTACCACATTCTTTGATGGTCTTAAATTGGATCAGAGAGAAGAAAAAATAAATTTAATTATAATTTTCTTCTTATTGTTTTTGTTTATCCATTCGGTATTAGAAATCTACTCATCTGATTATTCAAAATGCGCTGAGTTTGACCCAATTTAAGGGAATAATAGTGGCTCCTTATTACCAAAAGTTTGTTATTTCTTAATACTTGAAGAAATCTCTAATTTAGGTTACATAACTTTTGAAGTAAAGTGAAAAGCCCAACAAATAAAAGAATGACTAACTTACATAAATCTCAGTGTAAAGAGTAAATTACATTTTATCCCTACTCTTTTTCTAATTACAATAATTCCTTAAGGGCCATTTGGTTATTGGTTAGAGTTATGCAGGTATTAGTTATGCATATATTAGTTATGCAGGTATTAATTATGCAGAGTTTAATTATGCGGGTATTAGTTATGTATATATTATTTAATTATATAGAGACTACAATACATTATTATAGTAAATATTCTATAAATATATTTTATATACTGTTTATACAATTTTAATACACCAAATATATGAATTAGAATATGATTAACATATGTGCCGACAAAATATATACCACCCAAATTGTAATATTAATAAAATATTTACATTTGGAATCCAAATGTAAACCAAAAAAGAAAAAAGGCTATTGATCGTGTGTTAAAAAGAAAAAGAAAAAAAAATAAGAATGCAGTATACTCAGTAGTCAGGTTAAGTTCTCAATAAAAAAATTTAAAAATAAATTAATAGGGGTAAATATGTAATTTACTATTTTAATACATGTATAACTAATATCCGCATAACTTATTCCATCTTTTACCCCACATAACTTATACATAGATTCCCTCATAAGTTATGTTGGTATTAATTATGTAGGACTACAAAAAACGCAACCAAACACCATATAAAATTAATATAATTTATATTAGAATTTTAAAAATTATATGGAAAAACTATTTAGAGCCTGTTTGACATTGATGTTGGAAGGCCAGAAGTGTTTTTAAAAAATTAAGTGTTTGACAAATTCTTAAAACTGTATTTTAATGGAAGCAAAAACATTTTTTCTGTTGTTGTTGGAAAGAAGTTAAAAATTTCTGTTGTTTAAAAAACCAGAAGCAGAAAATTATTTTTTCAAGACAAAAACATCCCTTACATATATACATATTTATTAATATATCCCTTATTAATTAAATAACATATCTCATAAGTTTGATTAATTTTCATTCAAGAATTTTATTTATTTTATTTTTATATAATAATTTTTTTTGTTTTATTTATGATTTATATTTATATTATTATTATTATTATTATTATTATTATTATTATTATTATTATTATTATTATTATTATTATTATTATTATTATTATTATTATTATTATTATTATTATTATTATTATTATTATTATTATTATTATTATTATTATTATTATTATTATTATTATTATTATTATTATTATTATTATTATTATTATTATTATTATTATTATTATTATTATTATTATTATTATTATTATTATTATTATTATTATTATTATTATTATTATTATTATTATTATTATTATTATTATTATTATTATTATTATTATTATTATTATTATTATTATTATTATTATTATTATTATTATTATTATTATTATTATTATTATTATTATTATTATTATTATTATTATTATTATTATTATTATTATTATTATTATTATTATTATTATTATTATTATTATTATTATTATTATTATTATTATTATTATTATTATTATTATTATTATTATTATTATTATTATTATTATTATTATTATTATTATTATTATTATTATTATTATTATTATTATTATTATTATTATTATTATTATTATTATTATTATTATTATTATTATTATTATTATTATTATTATTATTATTATTATTATTATTATTATTATTATTATTATTATTATTATTATTATTATTATTATTATTATTATTATTATTATTATTATTATTATTATTATTATTATTATTATTATTATTATTATTATTATTATTATTATTATTATTATTATTATTATTATTATTATTATTATTATTATTATTATTATTATTATTATTATTATTATTATTATTATTATTATTATTATTATTATTATTATTATTATTATTATTATTATTATTATTATTATTATTATTATTATTATTATTATTATTATTATTATTATTATTATTATATCATGTTGTATATATTACTTTACGTATTATTTTAGAGAATTGGAAATAAAACTAACAACAATATTTTTGTAGGATTAAAAAAAAGTAATAATTAAAAATTTAGACCCTTCCAAAAAAGTAACAAATAAGAAAATTTATTTTCTTAATTTATGTATTAATTTATTTTAATTTGAATTTTTTTTAAAATTAGACTAAAAAAACGTATAGTTGCTAAGATTGAATCCAAAAAAATAGGAAATAAATAACAAAAAGATTCTTCTTTTAAATATTTTTCAACAATATTTTTTTATTTTTTTGGTAACTGTAATTATATTACTAGATTTTCAAGATGTAGAAATTTGAAGCTTAGGACATGGACATATTCCCAAGTCTCAAAGCCCATCACCCTTGCCTTAACCAGACTCTTATCCTAGAAAACCTACTAAGGATAGAAATTTAAATTCTGCATTGCATTAGCCATTCTAGGAATCATGCTACTTCTTCAATGAATTTCCTGAATGATTTGTTTTGTAATCTCCTCTATGGTCCTCTCCCTTTGCTGGAAAATTCTGTAATTCCTCTCTTGCCAAATGTAGTAAACAGCTACAGCCAATGTCATTCTGTATACTTCATCTTGTATAGTTTTCCTGTTAGCATGCAATGTAGTCCATTCTAGCTCTTCATTCCACCCTGCACTGCATCTGTTGATGGACAACCAATGAAGTAACCTTTGCCATATCACATTTGCCATATTACATGCAAAAAATAGGTGCTGATGTGTTTCTAGTTCTGCTTTACACAGTGAGCAAATTGAGTCATTGTGGATTTCCCATTTGTCTAGCCTGTCTTTTGTGTACAATCTCCTTAGTATAACCAAATACATGATGAAGGTCCATTTAGGACTGCCTTGGTTATTGCAAATCATTCTTCTCCATGGCACCTTGCTTAGTTCACCTCTAAGTTTTTTGTACATATCCTTGATTGCAAAAGTTTCTGCCTCTATCACCTCTGTCACTTGTAATCCAGCTTATGAGATCCAATGTCCTGATTGTAGTATTTTCCTCACAACCCAAGAAGCTTGATTAGCTTGAACTTCCCATGGTCTCCTATCTTTGATGTAGTAAGTATGGACCCATACAATCCATATCTTATCCTTTTTCTTTAGACAAATTCCACAGATACTTGAGTATTGCTGCTTTATTCCACACATACATATCTGTAATATTCAGGCCTCCAACAACTTTTGGACAACAAATTGTATCCCATGCTACAAGAGCTTTCCCTTTAGTTTGTGTATCTCCATTCCATAGGAATCTCTTGCATATAGCTTCTACCTGTTGCAACACTTTCTTTAGGAGTAAAAATATTTGTGCCCAGAATGCTTGAATGGAAGTTAGCACACTTTGCACCAGCTAGAGCCTCCCTGCATAAGATAGAAATTTCACAGTCCATGTGTTGATTCTTCCCAGCATCCTGTCTAGCAGTGGTTGACATTGGCTTATTGACAATTTTTTGGAGCTTAGAGGGACTCCAAGATACCTAAAAGGTAAATTGCCTTTTGTGAAGCTTGTATACTGCAATATCAACTGTTGTTCTTGTTCTAACACTCCACCAAAATACACACAACTTTTGGCCTGATTTGTTATTAAACATGATGCTTGTGAAAACTGCTGAAAGCATTCATACAAGAGGACAGTTGATTGGACATCTCCTCTACTGAATAAAAGAAGATCATCAACAAAACTCAATTGTATGATCTGTTGTTTATGTCATCTTAGATGAAACTTCAACTTGTTGTCCCTCAATGACTTCAGTAGTCTAGTGAAATACTCCATGGCTAGCACAAATAGATACGTGGATAGTGGATCCCCTTGTCTCACTTCTCTTTTTTCTTGGAAAGGCCCACTGGAACTACCATTTATCATTATAGAATAGGAGACTGTCTTAAGTCATCTCATTATCCATGTTATAAATCGTGCAGGTATTTGCAACCCAACTAGGACTTCTTCTAGAAAATGCTATTCCAAAGAGTCATAAGACTTCTGCATATCAATTTTAAACATGCACCTAGGTGAAATTCCTTTCCTTCCATACCCCTTCACTAGTTCATGACTTAGTATCACTTTATTATTCATCATTCTACCTGGTACAAAAGCAGCCTGACTAGAATCCACAAGATAGTTCATTACAACTTGTAACCTCTGTGTAAGCATTTTAGAAATTATCTTGTATAAGATGGTACAACATGAAATAGGTCTATATTCTTTAATGGAGCTAGGTGCTGTACTTTTGGGATCAAAGTTACAGAAGTTCTGTTAACAGGGCCATACATCTCATTGGTTTGAAAGAGTTGTAATACACCATATGTTACCTCATCTCATATTGTTGTCCATGTATGTTTGAAAAAGTGTGCATTGAAACCATCTGCTCCTCCTGGTGCTTTATTATCATAAATTCCTTTGAGTGCTGTTAGGACATCCTCTGTAGTAAAATGTTGTATGAGTGCAAGTTGTTGTGTTCTAGTGAGCACAGGGCCATCTCTCATTGCTGCTGGGTGCATGGTTGGCATGGGTGAAATTGATTTTCCTAACAGCCCTTTGTAAAACCCCACAACTTCTTTTGTAATGTCATCTAGATTCCTGATGATTGTGCCATCTTCTTTGGTGAGCATTATGATTTGATTCTCAGTTTTCCTTCCTTTCATACTTGCAAAGAAATATGCAGTGTTTGAGTCCCCCAATTTGAGCCATTGCATTCGAGACTTTTGTTTATAAATGGACTCTTCAATTAAGCTCCATTTGGTCAATTGTGCCCTCATCTCCTTCTTTTCTTCTATCATGTGTTGTGGAATAGGTGTATTTTGCATTTGATTCTGTTTGGCCATAAGTTTGCTTCGTAACTGTTGGACCTTTCCTGTGACCCCTATATACTCCTTGTTGTTTAAATGTTGCATTTCTCTTCTTACAATCTTCAGATTATTCCACACCCTTTGCATTCCTCCATTTTGTCGTTGCCAGCTTGTCTGTATTGTGGGTTTGAAATCAGGATGTTGTGCTAAGCAGTTATAAAATCTAAATGGCTTCTTCCTTAAGTCTCTTTGTGTTTCTACTTCTATACTCAGAGGGGAGTGGTCTGAGAATAGGGGCTCCATCACCATCCCTTGTAAAGGTGGCATTCTGATTACCCATTCATCATTCACCAGTGCTCTGTCTATCCTACTAAACATATGCCCATTATTCCATGTATATTGCCTCCCTACTGTGTGTAGTTCTGTGATATTACTGTGAATCATGCATTCTCTAAAATCTTTGGTTTCTTCCAGCTGTACTTGACTCCCAATGGGTCTATCCTCTTGTGCAAAAATTGAGTTAAAATATCCCATGATCATCCATGGTTCCCTGATGTGTGTGCTTAGCTGTTTTACCTTTTCCCATAATGAGCTCCTGGTAGCTATGGTGTGCAGACCATACACTGCTGTGAATAGAAACTTAAAACCACTTTGCTGCATATCTACCAGGCCATGTACATATTGAACTGATGATTCCACCCTTGTGAATTTGACCATAGTAGGATTCCATACAACCCAAATTCTGCCTCTAACTTCATTTGTATCATTTCTGCACCACTCCCATCCTGGCATTATTTTATTGATAATACTCCTTGCTTTCTCTTTTCTAACTCTATGTTCTAAAATTGCTATAATATTTACTTTATTCCTCTTAACGAACAACCTCAGTTCCTTATGTTTGACCTCTTGGTTGAACCCTCTAACATTCCAGGTTACTAGCATATTATATTAGGGGGTTTTGGTGGTGCCTCATGAGGAACAACCTCTAGTCTTCCACTATGTTGTCCAGTTGCATAGACAATGTCCTCACTAATTGTATTGCCATCATGTCCAGTATAATCCGTCTGCATTACCCCTTTCTTTGCTGCTCTACGCCTCACAATTTTCCATTCTTCCTGGTCCGGTGTCAATTTTTCAATAGTCTGCTTATCACTGTCCTTAACCAGTTCGCTTCCATTCCTTCCTTGGCCCTTGACCCTGCCCTTTCCTTGGTGGTGGTACTCCTGGTTTAGAGTGAAGGGCATATATACTCTAGTTTTTAGATGACAAGGGCACCAATGTCCCAAAAGTATGACAGAGAGTATTTGCATACCATTTACGATTGTTCAGGGGTATATTTGTCCTTTTTCTCTTTTTGAAAGACACTTTTCTAAAAACCTATTTTATAAAAGCGCTTCTAGAAATAAACAGTTTTTAGCAGCAATACCAAACAGGCTTTGACTGCTAAAAACTACTTATTTCTAGAAGCGCTTTTTTAAAATAGCTTTTTAGAAAAGTGTTTTTAAAAAATAATAATTTATGTTTGGCAAATTAATTTGAAAAGTGCGTTTGATAAGCAATTTATGTTTGCCTATTTTTAAAAAAAAAGTGCTTTTGAGAGTCAAATTACGAAAAAGGGCAAGTATCAAAGTTCTTTTAAGATTATTTAATCTACGAGAAGGATTTTTTTTTATTTGTTACCTTTTTAGGGGAATTGAATTTTTAAAATTTTACAAAAGTATTGTTGAAAAATATTGAGAAGAAGAATTTTTTTGTGTTACCTATTTTATTTTATTTTGGATTCAATCTTTAGCTATTTTTTTTGTCATAATCCTCTATTAATATATATATATAATTAAAATAAAATAATATGTAAATTAAGAAAAAATATTATTTTATTTGTTACTTTTTTTGGGAGGGATGAAATCTGTAATTGTTACTTTTTTCTTTTTTAATCCTACAAAATATTATTATTACATATTTCTAATAATACGTAAAATAATATATAAAATATAAATAATAATATATAGACATAAATAAAATAAAAAGTTTATCATATAAAAATAAAAAAGAAAATTCCTGAATGGAACTTAACAAAACTTATGAAATATGTTAATAAATTAATAAGAGATTTATGGTAAATATGTAAATATGTAAGAGATTTTTAGTCTTCAAAAAAATAATTTTCTGCTTCTGCTTCTACTTTTTTTAAGAAGCAGAAATTTTTAGTTTCTTACCAACAGCAGAAAAACTGCTTCTGCTTCTATTTAAAAGCACTTTTGAGGGTTTGCCAAACACTTGATTTTTCAAAAAAAACACTTTTGGCCTCCCAACAGTAATGCCAAACAGTCTCTTAGTCCCAAAGTCTTGGAGAAAAATATGTATCCTTAATTAGTTGTCATAGATAAATAATCATCGTGTAATTAGCCATCCTACGGCAGGAAGAACCTTTTTAATGCTAGTTTAACCTATTAACTAAGGAATAAGGATAACTATATTATAATGCCTAATAAAGAGCCAAATGTCTTTTTCGCGTATATGATTTTTATTTATAAATTTATTGTGAGTTGTAGTAATTTTTATATAGCTTTTTATAGATTTTATTTTGAAAGTTATGAATCGATATTTGGATTTATTGTTATAATATTTAGAATCAAATGTATTGGTTTTAAGATTGTAGTGTACCTTTTATTTGGCCTAAAGTCATAACTGAGGCCTTCTAATAAATTTATTTGCATTTTGTGATTCTGAAGTCTGAACTAAAACTCATCTTATTGGACATTTATATTATTTTTAAAAAAAATGTTTATTAGACACTTTTTAAAAAACATTGCAAAATACTATATATTTTTGATACACCTTATATCGGCGCGTGAAAGACATTAGTTCTAAACCTTAAAAAACGACCAGATATATTTAAAACAAAAAACAAAAAAAAAATTATGAAAAGGCTAGGGTTTGTGGAGAAGATGACATGGAAAGCAATGACGATAAATTTAGGGTTTCGGTGTAAAAGTACTTTTTCTTTTTATTTCTCATATTTCATATTAATTTTGATAATTATTTTGGGCCAAAATATGATATATCGTCTTTTAATTAGTCATTTTGTCATTCGCAAGTGAATTATACTCAAATTTTTTTTGGTTAGCTATCTAACAAATGTTTAATAGGTGGAGTATTTTTTAAGTAGTGTAAGCATTTAATATAAATAAGTTCAAATTCTAGTGTTAAAGTAAAAAATGGTTAGGGAGTCACTACAACAAAAATAACTTTTAGCGACAATAGATACACATTAATAAAGAGTGCTAAAGTTTTTACCGGCATTAGTTAAGTGTCATTAGATTCAATATTGCTAAAGACTTTAGGGACATATACAAAGAGTGCTAATTGCCACTAAAAGTACATATTTAGCGGCAATTGAGGAGTCCGGGGCCAAAAGGACAATTTTTTTTCTTCAAAAAATAAAAACGGCATATCAATTTCTTATTAAACCAAAAGGGCAAATTCGCTCCTGAGAGAGCGATATCCTTCGCACATAATTAACTCCATCTACTCCGTTAAAAAAATATTGAAATCGCTGGTCCAACATCGATTTTTTAAAATTAAAATCGCTGCTCCAGCAGATTTTGTATCGATTTAAAAAAAATAAAATGAAATCGCTGCTCCCGCAGCAATTTCTTAAAAAATAATAATTTCGTGTGGTTAATTACATTGGTCTACTTTCTAATATTGAAAATTCTTTTTGATAATGCTAAATAATGTTCAACTAAAAATTGGTCTACTTTCTAATTACATTGTCGGTGGTTAATTATACACTAATATTGATTGTTTCGTGTGGCAGTGTGATTTTGTATTTTGCTAAGAATTGATTGGGTGTTTGGGTTTTACTTGTCATTTTTAATATATATATATATTTTTTTTTATTTTTTTTAAATGCAACAGAATCCTACATTAGAAATCTCAAATTTGTCAATTGGTGACACTAGTAAATACTTTCAGAGCCTTACTGTATAGTAACAGAACACCTTTACCAATCAAAAAAAGAAATTGTCAATTGGTGGTTCTTGACTAGGAGCATCCTCTCCAATTAAACAAAGAAAAAACAGACAAATGTGCAATCCAATTGTAAGATGCAAGTTTATTGTGAATTTTACCCACCAGAAATGCCCATATGGCATAGTTCATACAGAAAGGTGGTCTAGGAGTAGTTTCTGCTATAGAATTTTTTCAGGAAATTGGATGCATCCCGATCTTTGCCTGAGACGTCCTGCACAAGACCTTGGTTACCTACAACATATTGCCCAACAATGTGGTGCCTCTGCTTTGACTGGTTCACAATGTTCATCAACTCTTCCATGCCCTTGAACAGCAGCATGTCAATTACCTTAGGGTTAGTAACATTGGCATTCTTGCGAACTTCGGCGGCGGCGGCAGAACGGAGTTGGGATGGTGAAACGACATCGTGCAAGTTGTAGACTTCCATTTACATGAGGGATGGATCTACAGCACATACGGAAGAATTCAAAGGTCCGAGTGCGAGCTTCTTCCAAACTGGTGGAGTTTGGTGTCACCTTAAGACTCTTCAGTATTTGGGACATTCTTGATCTCTTTCTGCCTTCACTGAACTGTCATTTTTAATATTTTAACCAATGTAATTAACCACACAATTTTATTTTTTTTGAGAAATCAATTTTTAAATTTTTTTTTGATAAAATCTCAGCTGTAGCAGCGATTTCAACTTTTGATAAAAAAAAATATTCTTGATAAAACGCTGCGGGAGCATCATTTTAATTTTAAAAAAATAAAATTCGACAAAATCGCTGCTAGGGCAGCGATTTTAATTGAATTTTTTTTAACGGAGTCGACGGAGTTAATTATGCGGGAAGGATATCGCTCCCTCCTCAGCGATTTTTCCCTTTTGGTTTAAAAAATATTTGATATATCGTTTATATTTTCTAAAGGAAAAAAGTTGCCCTTTTGACTCCGGACTCGGTAATTGAGCTATTGTCGTTGATTAATTACCGCTAAAGATCATTTATGATATAGATTTATGATATAGTGAGTGTTTAAGAAAATGATCGACAAATTTTGGAGACACTTGTAACATCATGTTCCCAAAACCCTAATTATATGATTAGTAAGTGTTTAAGAAAATGATCGAACGTCTAAGTAGTGTAAGCATTTAATATAACCTTTTTCACAGAAAATGAAGAAGAGAAAACTATGTATCTCAAAAATAATTTTCAAATATATTAACAACTATGCATTTTAAAATATTAGAAGAATAAACTTTGAATTAAAAAATAAATAAATAAGAATTTAAGGTCACAAATCCATTTTGACTTTAGCACATTGATGTGTTTGAGCCGCCCCATGGACGTATAACGATTTTATGATAAAATTCATCACAAATTTACGCCAAAATAAAATCCCGCACAATTTTGTCACAAATTTGTGACAAAGTTGTAATTCTGTGACAAAACTATGATCGAAATAAAGATTTTGTCACAAATTTTTTAACAAGGTAAATTTTAATTAAATAATTTGATTTTGTGTCGGAATATTTTGTCACACTAATTAGTGACGAATCTTTTCCTTCACAAATTTTGGAAATCACAAATGTCCAACGTTTGTAGATAATGAAACATGTAGTGCGAGTACTTTCTCCGTTTCATAATAGTTGATCAGTTTTTTTTTTCTATGTATATTAAGAAATCATAAAAAAGAAGATAATTTTATTAATACACCCCTTTAAAAACTTTTTGAAAATTTTACAAGCAAATGTGAACACTTTCAAAAAGAATTATTTGTAA